TTGCCAGAAAGTGGTCTTTAAAGTTGGGCGCCCCGGGCAGGACAGTCCTCTTCACTTTGGTCCCCTCCTCTCCCAATACCTTGACTCTCCTGGGCCAATCATCTCTGTTCACAGAGGGGAAAAATGCAATTCCTCAACTGTTCACTTACTTTAATTAAGAGAAATAACAAATCTTAAACATTCTTTGGGGAAGAAGGGTGAAGTCAAACTGAATTAGTCAGAAGTTGCTGAACCGTGCTACCCTAACAATCCCAGTTCTCTGGAGGTGGAGGCAGGAGGATCAGGGAGTTAAGGTCATCTTCAGCTACCTAGGAAGTTCAAACCTAGTGTGGGCCACATTAGACCCTGTCTCAAAAATAAAAAGCTGCTACTGAAGGAAGTTGCTAGTTACTGACAAAGAGAAACGATTAGCTAGAAACAAAGAAAATGTTATACATGCCCATATGTGTATCAGAAACGAAGCAGAATGGATAACGGGTCACACAGAGGTCAGTGCAGTACCTGTTCAGGACCGTGCTGTGGGTCCCAGCTTTGTACTTAGACTTTTGGTTCGTATGCTCAGCAATGGGGACGTGGGATCTGTGTGTACTGTCCCTACCCCAGCATGGACCTCCTCCAAGAGGCCTTCCCACCTTCTGCATATCTCCCTGCAGGATGGGGCAGACAGAGATCCCAGGTACACATCCATCACAGCACCTGGCTGCACTTCCCCGGGCACAACCTGCGCTGGATCCTGACCTTCATCTTGCTCTTTGTCCTTGTGTGTGAGATCGCTGAGGGTATCCTGTCTGATGGGTAAGTGTGTGACTGAGGACTGGGGACTGAGTGGATCAGAAACCCAAGAAGGCCCTCCCTGTGCCTGCTCACATGCCTTACACAAACCAGTACCATGGGTATTAGGTCTTATAACCTTTGCCTGGTATGAACTGTGCCAGGCCCTAGACACACACACACACACACACACACACACACACACACACAGAATGCAGGTTTCTGAACTAGTAGTTCCCTGGAAAACCATTCTAGAACCTGTCAAAGTTGTCCCAGCTACTATGGAAATTACCTGGTCTCTTTCTCAAGTGATTTAAGTGGGTGGGAGGACAGTTAAACATGCAGCTTCTTCTTACTGAAGACTTTTCCTTGGTTCTCATTCAATTTACAAGATTCAGTCCTGGGACCTGGGGCCTGGTGATGGTGGTGCACTCCTTCAATCCCACCACTTGGGAGGCAGAGGCAGGCAGACCTCTGCAAGTTTGAGGATGGCCTGATCTACAGAGCGAGTTCTAAGACCGCTAGGGCTGTTACACAGAGAAACCCTGTCTTGGAAACCAAAAAAAAAAAAAAAAAAAAAAAAAAAAAAAAATTTGGGTCCCTGAATCTCTCTCTGGGTACTCATATTTGTTACAGTACAGTCCCACCTGTCTCTAGCCGCCTTCTTCTCCCCACACAGTTTGCAAAGCTGTCAGAAAGGTTACATGAATGCCTAGTGAGATCTTAGGAGCTGGTTCTCTGTATTCATAGTGTGGGGCACACAAAAGCTCTGCAAATTGAATCCCAGAAGGATAAATAAAATCATACCACAAGGACATGGTCTGGGAGGAGAGGAGAAGGCAGTGTTAGACGGGTTCCATGGTGGAGGGGGCTTTGGAGCTGAGCCCAGAAGATGACAAGTGCTCTGACAGGCAGAGGAAGGGTCTAAGGAGTGGGAAGACTGTGGCACTGGAGCAAGAGGGACCAGGAACACATGTGTCGGGCCTACAGCTCAGGTGACAAGTGTGATTTGGGCAGTCATGATTTGAGAGATGGGGAAAGCTGGGTGTGTAGAGATGGCCTTGGGATTGAGGCTAGCTAGCCATGAGGTGCAGGAGGAATGGAGAAGGCTTAAGCAGTTGACACATGGAAGGGAGTCATGGGACTCAGGCTGAGAATCAGATAGGGCTCAAGAGGGAGGCATTTGAATGGCAGACTGCCTGGCTGAGTTGGATTTATTTCAGTTTCGAGTCCAGGAGAGATGCCCTCAGCACAGCACTCCCGAGTGAGAGGCCAAGCGAGTTGGTCTAGTCAGAGGCAGGATGAGTCGGATAGGTAAAGGGTGACTGCAGCATGTCCTCAGAAAGTGCAGAAGGGATACGGAACAGCCATCTTTAAGAAAGAGTGGAGGCATCGGTGAGTCTCAGGGACTGTTTCGGGAGGTGATGTCACAGTTGTGGATGGACATTGGGCTGGAGCATCTGAGGTCCAGCTCATCTGAGCTGTAATTAGACAGTGCTCAACCCTGCAGCTGTCCCCAGGGGGCGGGATTTCTGTTCTGCCACCTCCTGCTCCTTGGTATCCCAGGTGTCAGCACCAATGTCACACCTCGACTCCTCATGGCATTGGGTCTTATTGCTGATCAAAGCCTTCCAGACCAACAAGAATGCCATCAGGCATGTGTATGCTTATGTAGCCAGGGACCAGTCTGTACCCCTCCTCAGGACCCTTCCAGTGTGTCACTGAGTACCGAGGAAAGGGACTTGTGCACCCCTAGCTTATAATTGGCTGGGTGACAGGAGAATACCCAACTGAAGAGAAGGGAGCCCTGAACCTTCTGCCCAGTGCCAGCTGTGTGAATTATATGTCTCTCAGCCTTTCTGGACTTTGCCCTTCCTACCTGAGAAAGGGTACTCGGGCTCTCACTTGTCTACTCCAAGAGAGTGAAATGGGGAAATGCACAGGGTCTCGCCTAGCCATGTGGCAGAGGACGTACACCCAGGACATGGGGACTGGAAGGAAGTAGCCCAGACACCCATTCTTACTCTCTGACCCTCCACCCTGTGTAGCTGTACCTGCCCCCCCCCAGGCCCACTGAGTGTGTCTCCTCCAAGGCAGAATCCATGTCTCTAGCTGGACACTGGGCTCCTGATCTTTGGGGAGGACATTCTGAGTCAGCAAGTGTAAGGAAGGGACAGGGGGGCAGATGGGTGATGTCATAGACCTGCCCTGTGCCTCCCACTGGCCTGTGGCATGTGGGGCCATGGGGCCTGATCTGGGTAAGACAACAGTCTTCAGCTGGGATCTGACTCAGGCTCAGCCACATTTAGTGACTAACTGAGCATCTACACTCTGTAGTGAAGCTGCCTCCTTAGGGGCTTGTGCCTGTATTCGATCCTGTCAATTCAGAGCAGTGATTGCATACAGGGTAATGGGTGGGGGAAGGGGGGCTCCCAAATCACCATACACCCAACAGACAGAAAGAAAACTTGTACCTAATTTCTTGGCTATTTCATTCTGAGTCATTCAGCAAAGCATTTAAGATAACTGATACTGTGGCATAATTGTTCCAATTATAGCTAATATTAAATTCATTTCAACATTATTTCTAGTACAGAGGCAAGAATTCTGAAGCCCCCTGTCCCCAAGTAGTGATTGTCTGCCATTGCCTGCCATTGCCCCTTTGCATGTCCTCTATTAGCAAGACCTTTTGCTGAGAATATCAAGGCTGGAAGGACATCGATGACAGCCTCATTTAACAAGAACTCTAGAAATTTACATTTTCTGGTTGATTTTGCACTTTGGTAGTCTTCAGGGACTCAGCCTTTCCCCACTGTCTGCGGGTCAGCTGCCCCTTCCTCGTGAACACAAAGTGGCTGCCCTGCTACAAGTATCCCATAAGAAGGAAGGGGCAAGTTTGGAAAGGTCTGTTCCAGCCATGCCTCTGCCTTAGTTGTACTCTGCAGTCTTGACTGCGTGGCCACCCTCAGACCAACCCCCTGGCAGAGGGGTATGGAATTGGTAGCCCACTTAAGCTGGTCACCATCTATTTCTTAGGGGCTGGATAATTTGTGGTTCTTCATCAAGCAGCAGAGGAGGATGCTATTTGGTAAACAGCCATGCTGCCTCCATGCCTGCACTTGGGTCCCTCCAGAGTCGTCAGACTCCTGACATGGCATGCTTTTCCATATGACGTGACTCCTCTGCTGAACATCTATTTGTCCTTCAAAGTCCAACCTGGTTCCGCTCCCTCTGGGGAACTTTCCCTGGTTGTCCAACCCCTCCTTTGCCATCCCTCGGCCTTCAGGCCATCTGGAGTATCCCTCTGTGGACTGTTGAGTCAGATAGCAGCTCTGGACTTGGCCTATGCTAACAGGGTAGGGGCACTTGGCCTGCTGGATCCAGCAATAGTATAAGCAAGGACATTACTGAGGCAGGAGGCTGAAATGGATGCTCTGAGGATGGAGAGGGTTTCCAGCACTGCTGGTATAGAAAGAACAGGTTGGGCAGTGCTAGAGAGGTTGCTGCAGGCCCTGTTGTCTGGGCCTTTGGTGCTGGGCTGGACTGGGTCTGTGTTTTGTTGTCTGTAGGAAAAGCATGGTCAGGAAAGCTAAGGCAACCATCTGCACTTCTTGGCTGAAGCTGAGGTCTGGGAGGAGACTCTGGCTCCAAATGTGGATTGATTGTCACCATGCCTCCCTCCTGCCAGCATGGAGGCCTTTGTGAGTCAAAGGAAGAGGGCACCATCTAATAGTCTCCGCCCCAAGCCCACAGGAGGAGGGCAAAGGCGTGGTCTTGGGCATGTGACTTAGCCAGTTCCCTTGGTTATAGACTATTCGTTGGGTACTCAGAATCATGTTCAGCATGGGGCAGGCACTCAGCACATGTGGGCCGCCATCAGCATTGTTAGAGCAGAGCCTGCCCACACTGCCCCTGCTTATCTGTGCTGAGCGGATTGAGATGAACAGAATGTTTGGGATACAGACTGCTAGGAAGAGCTACCATCATATGGGCACCCAAGCCGTGGTTATCTGAGGCCCTACTGTGTGCTGAGCAGTAAGCACAAGACCTGTGCTGTTGTACTTGTGCTGTCCACATGCACACCCTCTTTCTGATTTTCTCTCTGTCTTGTGTCACAGGGTGACAGAATCCCGCCACCTGCACCTCTACATGCCGGCTGGGATGGCGTTCCTGGCTGCCGTCACCTCTGTGGTCTACTACCATAACATCGAGACCTCCAACTTTCCCAAGCTTCTGATTGGTGAGGATGGGGAGGCCTCCCTTCCTCAGCCAGCATCTTCTGAGCACTTACTCTAGGCTAGGAGTCAGAAGTAAAGAGATGGTCTCTGCCTCCATGGAGCTCGTGGTCTGGAGGAGGAGACAGATGGGCAAAGATGGTACATTAACCAAGGAGCAGGTGCTGAGGATGCTGTGGAGGAGAGCAAGTTGGGTGTAGGGAAGGGAATGGTGGGTGTGGTTGTCAGTCAGGGAGACGCCTGCAGAGTCAGCCTGCAGAGGTCTTCTGACCTGAATATGCCTGGCAGTGAGGCCAACATGGCCAAGCCCAGTGAGCAGGGCCACCTGTAGAAATCTGGAGCCTGACCACCAGGGGAATGGTCATTGAGATGGCCCCAGAGTCAGAGGTAGGGACAAGATGTGGACGTGGACCAGGGTTTCATGAATGTTGGATGTTTTCTGTCACAAGCCAACAGTGACAAGTTGACAGTTTGGGGGGGGAGATGAGAACCTGGGACAGAATCCACCCAGGACTTCTGAAGCAGACCACCCCAAATCTGAAATCCAGCCTCATAAAAATGTCACAGCTAATGCCCAAAGAGCAGCCACACTGCACGCCAGGCTCCCTGTGCTAAATGCTTCCCACACACTGCTCCCAAATACCTTTGGGCAGTGCTGTCACTGCCCCCATTGATGGATGGGGAAGTTCAGATATAAGAGGGTTACAGCGCCAAGTGTGTTGACTTTTTGACATTACCATGTGATATTGCCATCTTCAAAACCTACACTTGAAGACTCTTCAATGCTTTACAAAACAAAATCCATGTGTTTTAAGTAAGTTTGTGATTTTGTGTTGAGCTGCATGCATAGCTATCCTGGGCCACAGGCTGGATGCACTTGGTGCTCCATGGTTTACTCATGGCTGTTACGTGTAAATCTGGGTGAGTCTGGCTGCAGGACTCCACCTCTAACCACTGTACTGCACTGCCCCATGGTACTAAAAAGCACTCTTCTTGTGTTGACCATAGCCCCAGGCTTCCAGGGGAACATTATTGGGGTGCTATGGACTCAGGGCTCCCTCACCTTCTGACCATCACAAGCTGACAGTAAACATGACTAATTCGCTTCATCTCTCTGGGCCTCAGTGTCCTTATCTAAAACAAACAGGCTGGATCATTAAGATGTTCCCAGCTTGGGAATTCCACCTGAACTCACCAATCTCTGCCCTTGCTCTGCCGTTTAACGCTGCCATGACCTGCATGGGTTACCCAACCTTGCTGACCCTTAGTCCCCTTGAGTGGTTGAGATGGGATAACAAGCCACTTCCCTCTCAAGACAGTAGTAAGGAACACATGAGAAAATGTGTTTGAAGTGCTCACTTGGCACAGTGCCTGTAACTTAGTTGACTTCAAGAAGCCATTTTCCCTGTCCTCGTTGTTTGCCTGACCTGTTGGACTCATGGTACCAGTGTTTCTAAGCATGTCTGTCATGAGTGTTAGAATGCCTGTTCTGAATCTCAGAGGGACAGTAGAGCCAGTTGTGGTGACTCACACTTGGAATCACAGTACTTGGCAAGTGGAGGCCAGAAAATTAGAAGTTCAAGGTCATTTTCAGATACATATGAGACTCTGTCTCAAGTCAACTCATTGATTGGTTGATCAAAGGGATAATGTGATAGTCATACAGGCCCACCCCCTTATCAAAAATGTGTTTGAACGCCGCCCCCATGCCTCTCTTTCACCACATGCTTGCATGCTTGTAGAGGTACACACATGCCTTGCTCAGCACTCCATACTGTCTCTCTCCTCCTCAGCTCTGCTCATCTATTGGACCCTGGCCTTCATCACTAAGACCATCAAGTTTGTCAAGTTCTATGACCATGCCATCGGCTTCTCTCAGCTCCGCTTCTGCCTCACGGGGCTTCTGGTGATTCTGTACGGAATGTTGCTGCTCGTGGA